TGAGCTTGGAGCGCCCCCTAGCGGAGTGTTGTTGTTTGCTCAATAAACAACTCCTAATAAGTTCATAATTTGTAATGTTGTTACTAAATTTTCAATAAGACATGAGTATGTTATTTTTGGTTTTCATGCAAAGAATACAAATGAAAGTGGAAGACAGTGAAAAATGTAAATTTTTAGCATTTTTCACCCTTTTTTACAGTTTTAATTAAGGAAATCAAACTATTATTACCCACTATTTACAACACTCCAAAAAAAAGCTGTAAACAGATTTGAATAATGTAGGTCATTGAATGTTTTAACTTACCATAATGTCTATAATGTCTGCTTTCTGTCTTTTTTTTGTACTAGGTATTTTTCCATAGAAGTGTGTTCTGTTCCTCTTTTTTTTGTCTAATTGTAAATAAATGGTTTCTCTATAAAAAAAAAAATGTTGTCTACTCTGCTTTCTTTTGACAACAAAATTCAATCCAGGAAACTATTGACAAACTGGGATGAAAGCAGCCTGCCCATCTAATGTTGCCATAACAAGCGTAAGGTGTGTAATGGATTAATTCTCCCACCTCTATGCCAGCAAGGTCGTATTATTTTCCACGGTGAAGAGGTGATATTTTTCTCCCAAAAGAAACCATCTTCTCTTTGGTTCCTAAAGCATAAGAGACAGAGCTTAATTCGCAAAATATAAAAATAAGCTGTACATAAGCGGCAGAAGGAGAAAAACCACGTGACCGCAACCATAGGATCTCAGATACGAGCCTTTTTTAAATTAAAAATAATATAAAAATGTGTTTTCATAAATGACAAAAGCCCAATAAAGTAACTGGTTTAATATACTTGCGTTTAAAACAGAAATCCTCTCCCGTTCCAACTTTCGCATCGTCCGTCATTGTTCCAAAAACAAAAAGTGCTGAGAAGGATACATCAAAACTCGTCCTTCAAATCGATTTGTTGTCATCTTTCAAGAGTTAAGGTGAATTAATTCCCGAACAAATACACAAATTCTGTAAATATCTTAAATATTTGCTGCAATGGACCCAACAGTTGGCTCAGTTGTCTCGATAGTACCCCCTGCTGTCTAGGAGGGGAATTGTCT